TTCAGAGTGAAGTTAACCGACACATCAGTATCTGGCATGAAGCTGAGGTCACACCAAAGATATGTTCTACGTCTCATCTATGGAAGATGTCCGAGGAGTATGCCGGGCCGACAGTCAGAAGCATCGGCCGATAAGTTAACGTTAGTCATCGACTTGACGCCAATCTAACTCATGAAATTTGACTTCGATTAATAATATTATTAGTATGGTAGTAACAGCAGCAGTAGTAGGCTAGCTAAAAAAATAATCCCATCGCTTTTATAGGGATCAACCGGTATCTTCGAACTCTACTGAACTTCTTATTAAGTTATATCATATAGTACAAGATCTTAAAACATATTGAGGCATAAGTAAATATCTGAAACCAAGGCAAGTGAAGCATGAAGCAAACTATGAATTATGCACTTGACGAGTGAACCTCAAATGCGACATATAAGACAAGCATTTTGTCTATGTTCTATTAGATCTAAAGGGAAAACGTGTCTTGAAGTAGTCTGAGAGAATTAGCACCAAGAAATCTTCAAAAAACGATTGATCACCATGGGGTGTTTTGATAGCAAAATGATCAGAAATAGTAATCGTTGACTAGTGAGTTTATTGTAAAATGTAAAACAGAAAATGGATGATTAGTAAAGCTATTTTGTGATTGGGACAAGGAAAGACTCGGAACAGTGATCGACGGGTGAATACGGGAGGATGTATGGAACACAGAAGCTGACCGGGTAAATAAGAAGAATACGGGACAGTAAACAGATGTAAAGGAAATGCCGTTACGCATTTGAAACTCAATTAAGGATTGATGCTGGTTCTTAAAAGTAAAGTGATTGCTGAGCTCGGCACTCCTGCAAATATGGCTGAAGAGTAAGAAAGAGAATATCATATGACTTCATAAAATACAGAATAAAATCGAAAGGCAGTTGGGAGATCTTAACCCCGGTGGCATACGTTTATAACTTGGTATCGGAATGAACTAGAAAGAGAGAAGGATTAGGCATAAGAAAAATTGATTCGATAATAGTTAAACTAGAAAATAAGAAGTGTCCTTCAAAAGGCTCCAGCAAAAAATGAAATTAACATTCATTTCATTATTTATGCAAATAAAAGCATCCAAAAACGGACGAGAATCAAGTGAGTAAATGAAAAATTCCCAGAGCTATTTGGCCCACTCATCTTTCAATCTTTTCTGGAGTTGCGAAGAACTCTGATAAAGGTTAAGTAGTTGGGTGGGCTGGTTATTTTTTGTATAACGGGATGAACATCAGCTGTATGGACCTCATTGGAATAATTCTGAGCAAAGTCAGTCGGAAATCCCTTCATTATTAAGGCAATAATATACATACAAAGTATACACAAAGATATACATATATAAGTGCGCATACATCTACGAATGCGCACACATTTAAGCGTATATATAGGCATGTACATATTAATAAATGTATATTTATGAGTAGGAATATGGACATGGAATCTGGAAAGGCAGCTGCTGGTAGAAGGCAATAAAAGACGCCAACGTAATGGATCTGCTTCAGGAAAAGAGCGAGATCACGAAAGACAATGACAAAGGGCACATTTGAGAAAACGAAAAGTTTTTTTTAGGAAGGAACGATAGCTTTGGTGACGATCAGGGTCTTTAAATCGAAATCCAGAGAATAAATGCAAATAAGGAAATAAGAAAACCAGGCAGATGTAGAAGCTGGTGAAGCTGCATCCACACCTTTTAACATCCAGTAAACCACTCATCCATTAATCAATAAAAGGATGAATACAAAGATCAGAAAAAATAAAAATCGGCAGAAGTTGACAGTTGTGGCCCAGATAACCAGTCAAAGTGACTGAGTAAAAGATGTACATAAAAAAGCAAGTGCATAGATGCGTAAGACTAAATTGAAAGCGAAGATTAGGTCCTGTCCTCCGTGGCTTGATGCGCCGAACCTTCAGTAGCCTGGGGCTTGGTCCCGCCAGAGAGACAAGGAGAAGCCTGCGAAGGGCAATGATCGCTGGAATCTGTGACCGAATTAGAGAATGTAAAGTGTTCTGCCAGACTATTATTACCCACAATTGCAGAGGTAGTGGGAGTCAAGATGGTCGAAAGAGGAATAGAACTGCCAGAGAGATCTGCATTGGATTCCGGATGAGTAGGCGTCACCTCTACCAACGAAGAACCGCCCAGATGTTGATGCGAGAACCATGAAAGAGCAGCACAATCTGTGGCACCTGGACGTTCCCTGCATGGAGGCAAAGGAAATGAATTAAAGAATACTGTCAAGCCTAATTTGAAAAACGAGCTAGATTAAATGGTGAATATTATACCACACCTATTATTGAATAGTCTACTCAATCGGATAAAGAAAGCCGGCTTAGCGAGTGTCTCAAATGTTGTCCTTTCATTTGATTATCTGAAGACTATGGGATTTCGGAGAACCTAAACACAAAACCGAATAATTAAATCTAATTTATAGTTATCTAAACGTCAGTCCATAAGCCCAGAATGAGCCCAAATAGCAATGCAAGATATACCTTTTTCGTTTACCGATTCTAACGACATGATCAATCAAAACGAAATTGGCTAGCCAATTGATCGATAAAAAAAAGAGTATGGCCTAGTATTACCTAAGCACTTAAAAAGTATAACAAAAGCTATTCAAATTTTGTTAATTTACTAGTATGCGATTAGACGTTGCAGCCGGTGGATGGTTTAAAACTCAAAATAATTTATTTGTGAAGTTAGTATAAGTTTGAGATAATCACAAGAGCATAGACAGTCCTTTATTTATGCAAGCATTTATTCTTCCAGTAAACTCAGCATATTGCAACGTCAAATAGGCTATCAAAAACATCTCCTTAATATAGCTAAGTTGCTGAGATAAATTTTGATCTATACAATGGTAATGGAAGAAAAACAGGACTGAAGGGAATCAAAAGTGAACAAGAGGCTTGATATACTTAGGAAAGACTCTAGGCACGAATATTGATGCAATAGAGTAATAATTTGTGAAACATTAACTTTTATTTTAATCAATGTCTGCCGTATATGGTGTAGCCAGTTTCAGGTCACAGGTAGATAGAATACGTGTAGACATGAAAGCAAAAATTAAGGAAGAACCCACAAATAGTGATAAAAATTAAAATTTTGCGCGTGTGACTTGAGTATTGGATAATCATATCAATGATAAAATGTAATTAACATATTTTTTATATATAAAACCTCATATTGAACGATCCTATGTAATAAAGTAATTTGGCTATCCTTTTAAACTGACAAAGGCATTTTCCAGATTACTTCAAAAAAGGATTACGGAAACAATAAAATAAGATCACATGGAATAATATATAATGGTAGTCAGTACAGTAAACAGGATTGTGATAACAATATTTAAATATCGTAACTATGATCACTGACTAAGATTTACTCTGCAACTAAGTTTTTGACAATGACATCAATGATATTCGTAATCCTATAAAGAAAAATGGTTTTAAATCATCCTTTATACGAATAATTATAAAAGGAAGCACCAATCTCTAAATACACATTTCTTGTGGAAAATAGCTTACCAGTATTAAGCGAAAATATATGCCAAGTTGGTGACCGTGTGACAAATTAGGTGAAATAAATCACTTTCAGCAGCTATTTTAATTTT